CAATTTAATATTAAGAGTTTTACAGTGTTTTTGCATAAATCATTTATTTATTTTTGAAATTGTTTTGACATTTTACCAATATAGGGTCGTTTCCACACCTACCGTATTTAAAACCTACGATAAGTCGACACTTATCGTAGGTTTTAAATACTAAAATAATTTTGCAAAAAGTAGTAATTATTTTTTTTTTAATATATTTTATGTATCAACAACATCGTCTTGCACTTCTATACATTACAATACATAGAAACCACAATAGTTAGTGGGTATATTACGACAGCCTATAAAAATACTTTTTTTTTTAAGTACCAACTGTTAGAAGCATTTCAAATAAAATAAGGAAATTTAAGAAGATAACATAAAATTGTATTTCTAAATTGACTTAATCAGGTAAATAAAACATGAATCATTATTAATATTATTAAAACAACTCACCATTGTAGTATCAATGTAGTATTTCTGAATGTACGATAAGTATGAACTAAAAAAAATGTCATACCATACATATCGTATTTCCAATGAATAATCAATTTGTTTCTTTTTTACTATAAATATAAATATTGTTTTACTTAGATTCATTTATAATGATAAGACAAAAATATAAAACAAAAGATTGTAGCTCAAAATGAAGACTTCATATACTGAGAGTCAATTATGTGATGCTGTTAATGCTGTTAAAAAAGGCTTGTGTACAAAGCAAGCAAGATGTTTGGAATTTCTTATCAGGCGCTTCATGATAAAATATTTGGAGGAACTTCTTTAAAGATACAAAACTGCGAATATGAATTGATTCTAGGTGAACAAATTAGTTGAGTGGTTACTAACATGCACCAGAAAGGGATTTGCCATGCTTGTAGTACAGCTATTAGATACTGTGCAAAATTATTAAAATTCCAACAATATAAAATCACTATTTACTAACAACCGTCCTGCAAAAGGTTGGTTTTATGCATTTCTTCGCCATCATAAACAGCTCAAAAACGAGGTGAATACTTAAACCGAGCTAGAGGAGGAGTAACTGAAAAAGCCAAAAGAGATTGGTTTACTGAAATTCCAAAGCTTTTAGGAGAAAATGCTCAATATTTAAATGATTCGATGCGCATTTTCAATATGGATAAGAGTGGTTTTTAGTTGTCACCAAAAACTAATTTATTAATTGGTGAACGAGGAAAAAACACATATGAAGAAAGTACTCAAGAAAATAATAAAAAAAGCATCACTACTTTATTTGCAGTAAATGCCAGCGGAACTTTTGCTCCATCATTAACAATTTTTAAATAAGTTCGTCTTCCAAATCGAATTATAAACGCTCCTCCATCAGGATGGGGTATTGAAAAAGTGAAAGTGGTTAGATGATCGCAGAATTTTTTTTTGAGTATATTACAAACGTTTTTCATCCATTTTTCATAAAAGAAGAAATTCCTTTACCAGTTTTTTTTTTTTGATGGTCATGCGTCACATTTTTCTATCAAACTTAGTGAAAAATGAAATAGTTCTTGTTGCTCTGTTCCAAAGTGCAACACATATTTTGCAGCCGCTCGATGTGGCAGTTTTTGGGCCAATGAAAGCAAAGTGGAAATCTTTTTGCTGAAAATGACGCATTGACCATGAAGGACAAGAAATAAGAAATAAAAATGTACCAGAAGCATTAAATTCTTTTATAATAGATCCTTTTTTTGCAAATAATATTAAAAGTGGTTTTAAAAATACCGGAATTTTTCCATTTGATGCTAATAGTGTTGACTACAAATAAATTTTTCAAAAATTATCTGGGGCAACTGTTGCGCCGGCTCCTTATTTAGAAGAAAACCATTTAAGTGTGATTTTATCAGCTTCCTCTTCCATTGAAATGAATCTTTATTGAAAAGTCCATTGATTTAATTATTTTAGAGCAGTTTAAATAGCTGAACATTTAGGTTGGAAAGCTGATCTTGAAAAGTCACAAATAAAAAATGAAAAATTAAGAAAGAAACAATTAGCTGCAAATATAAAGTCAACATTAGAGAAAGAAAGATTAAGAAAAAAATAAAGCAGATTTTAAAATATATGATAAGTGTCGACAATATATACAATAAGTGTGAAACACTTACGATAAGTAAAACTGCCCTTTAAATGTTTGATCAAAATAATTGAAAAAATAATTTAAAAATTATTGATTTAAATTTTAGAGTGAGAATAATTTTAAACTAACCCTTATAGTATTGCATTGACGGCTGCAAAAAATCATTTTTTAATGCATTTCTACTTTTTGAGTAATCTAACATATTATAATAACTTTTGTTAAACTCATGGTAAGTGAGGAAATGATTTATAAGTACATACATTATAGACCTACTGCATTTTAAAGTAATTTATTTTTGATGAATCAACAATTTTCTTTTTTACATAGTCTGTTAAGCTAGGTTTTTAAACCAATTAGTTTAATCAGGTAAAAGTTTTTTTAGAGAATATGTTTAAGTTTAACTAAATCAGGATGTAAATTAAACCATTTTCTATTAGTTTTATAAATCCTATCTATTAAGGTTCTTTATCATGCCAATTTTGTATGAAATATTGGTAAAACTTAAGTAATTTGTTAATAGACCGGAGAAAGTCTTTTTTCTTAATATGCTGGGAGTTAATTTATATTTGTTGACAATATCTAAAAAAGCCAATTGTTGATTTACTTCTTTTTCCATGGTAAATTTAATATTTTTGTGTTCATAATTCATGTAATTAAAATTTTTTAAAGAATCTGTCTCGTTTTCAAATTAAAGAAATATATCATCAACATGTCTGCGATAAAACAAGGGTTTGTTGTCTGTGTAGTTTAATAAACTTAATTTTTCCATATAATTCATAAATTTAATTAGCTAATATAGGAGCAAAAGAGGACCCCATAGCTATACCATCGGAGTGTTCATAATATTTGTTATTAAATAAAAAATGATTTTTTGAGGTGGAAAATACAAATAATTTATAGAGTTCTTTTTTATTAATTTTGAAATTAGGATTGTTATTAATAATAAATTTTAAAGCTAACTCTAAAGTTTCTCGTAATGGTATATTTGTAAATAAATTTTCAACATCAAACAACACCATATATTTATTTAAAGTGCTTACCTTATTTAAATCCTGAATAAATGTGAAAGAATCTTTTGGAGACAATTCAGTGTTTATGTATGGTTTAAGAGGATTACCAAGAAATTGTGCAATTTGTAGTTATAAGAACCAATGGAAAAAACTATGGGTCAAAAATTACACCATTTCTTTTATCTAGTTTCATGATCATTATTAACAAATGTTTTAGTTTTTTATGTATCAAGTGTTTTCTTAAAGTAGCTTAGTTTGGTTTATAGTTTTAATAAAGTGAATTAGCAATGTGTAAGAGATGAACTTTAACTTTTGGTGCGTCATTATCACTTTTTAGATCCAACAGTATATAACAGCTAATCATTTCTAACGATGCAAAGATATCTGTTTTTGTTAGTTTCAATGGGAGAATTTAAAACCTTTAAACTATTCAATTCCCCCATTGAGACTAATAAAAACAGGTATCTGTATTATATATACACAGGACTGTATAACAGGACAGTAGCAACAAAACATGTATTGGGTGGGCTATAAAGCTTTCTATATACTCTAAGACAAAGCCCTGTAGAAGTTGCATGAAACTTTCTCAGCAAAAACCATACCAAGCATAGTTAAAATAATTTAAGCACAATTTTTTGTGCGTAGCACTTTATATGAAATATTATTTAAGATTTATTTTTAGATGTTTTAAAAATGCTGCTAATTTTGTTTGGTTTTTAGAAAATATTAAAATACTATAATTAAAAAGTTAAAAAACATGTTTGTTTTTTGTTTTTTTCTTCTAAAGATTTATTTTAGCCTTAAAAAAGTTTATTTTAAAAGTAAAATAGTTTTTGAATAACTAGTTGTCAATTTTTCTAACAGAAAGAACACAGTACAAGGTGCACAGGGATATAACTCATTTTGGAGTTAAATTATAGTTTAAACACTAGAAGAATAAAACCTCCACTTTGTTGTAATAAAGAAGAATGGGGTTTCTTGAAATGTGTCTGAATAAAATTATTCAGTTTTTTGATCCGTTTGCAAAAATCCAAGAAAGTAGAGTTATGAGAAAATGTGTAATCCATAAGAGTTAAGAGGCATAAACAAAAAAGTAAAAAAAATAAAACTAAGTGTTACGTAGAAACAAATTCTTTGAATTTTTTGTATTTTAGCATGTTTTAACATGCTACAATACAAAAAATTCAAACAATTTAAAGAATTACTCAGCAACCATTATTTTAAAAATCACCGGCTGCAATTTACCAATTAAACAAAATTAAACAAAAGCCTGTTAGCATTACAACTTTTAGATGCGACGTGAAAAACAGCACAAAAACTAGTTAATGTAGCTGGCTAACAGAGGAATTTTAACTGAAAAAATTATCTGAGCGGGTAATATATGGAGACAAATTATAAGGATTAGAATACCATTTACTTTCCTCTTTATTAAAACTGTCCGTTTAGAGTTTTTATCTTAACGGATACTCAAGTTCTCTGTTAGTTTAATGGACAGATGTGAATACGGCTGCTGATGCCAACCTCAACAGTTTAAGTTTGGCAATAAAATGTCAACCTCATTTTTTCTAATTCCGAGGGCTGTTGGTGCTATTTTGCACTTTATTTCTAGAAAAGCTTGATAAATTGTGTATAAGTTTAATGATTTTTGAATAGTTATAAGCATCGTGTAGCTTTATTTTCAATATATATATATATATATATATATATATATATATATATATATATATATATATATATATATATATATATATATATATATATATATATAAATATATATATATATGTATATATATTTTTATTATACATTGTTTTTATTATACATTGTTATATAGCTTTGTTTATTTTTATAATGTTATTTTTGTTTGTTTTTTTTTGTTTTTTTTGATTTTTAATTTAGGTTTTTTAGTTTTAAAGATAATTTATTTTAGAAATTACTAAACTCCCAAAGTTCTTATTCAAGCCATGACGAAGATCCATACTCAACATCTGGACCAGAAAGTGATGGTCAGACAGAATCAGATGATTCTGAAATATTTTTTAAAAAAAGTGAGACTCCTTTATTCCTTCATTTGACATCTTCTTGTCATTACAAAAGTTCTGATGATGGTTTTACAATGCGACCGGTATCTGTGACATCATTGCCGACATGTATTGGTAACATTTTATTTTGTTTTTAAACTGTATTGAAAGGTGTATAGTTTATTAAAGGTTTTAGGCATCTGGTATATTAAATCTACTTTCAACTTTCAACTTATTTGCACTATGGATGCTTAATATTTCATTGTTGAATTTTATGTCTGTGTGAGTAGGGGGGGGGGGAGGAACACTTTGTAATCTTCTGGTACATTTTATTTGTAACTTTTTTTTAGTCTGGCCGCTACATGCAAAAAAAAAAAAAAGGAAAACTAAACATTTTGAGTGGACATTCTAATTTTTGTACAGAGTTGTTCCATATAACTTAAGAAGTTTAAAAATCTTTTTATCCACTTGGAAACTGCTAATAAATTTAGTTAGAGACAAAAATAGATACAACTTATTGAAATGATTTTAAGTATAAAATATCCGCCATGTTATTTATAAATCAAATACTGCAAAGCATTAATTTAGTTGTCACAAATTATTGAGACCCCTCTCAATCATTTGTGACAACTAATTAACAATTTGTAAAATTATATGTTTAAAATATAATTACTCAAATCAATCAAAGTATTCAAATTTCACAAACCAAATTTCAAAACAAATTTTTTCATTTAAAGATAAATTTGTTTATAACTGTCTCTTAATTTTGTATTAAAATTATAAAATAGTTTTAATTTAATAAATCTAAAAAAGAAAGTTTGTTTCCATTCTTTGTTTATGTTAAAAAATGTTTACTTTTCAAAAACTGTTTACTAAAAAAAATGTGTTTTATTTACTTTTATTTATTTATTATTATTAAAGTGAATAATGAAAAGTAGCAAAAAAAAGCTGCATCTTAATCTAGTTCCTAAAAAAAAAAAAATTAAAAATGCTTGCATACTTCATCAAGGAGAAGTTGGCCATGATAATAACAAACTTTGTGGTTTTTTTTATTTTATTTTATTTTATTTGCATTCACTGCCAACAAGGCTGCAAGCAGCCACTATTAAGTTGGGAGTTACTAGGAAAAAAAAGAACAGAGTTATAGAGCAAGGAAACGGTTGACAGAAGACTTGAAAAGTTGAAAGTTGTTTGAGTCAGGAAAACATGAAGATGGGAGAGAGTTCCAAAGGATTGAAGTGCGGGGAAAAAAACTAGATGAATAAAAGTTTTTAGAGCAGGCAGGTACAGATACAGTAAACGAATGAGACTTAGCTGAATGACGAGTAAAACGAGAATGAATTTTAGTTGATGGAACTAGAGATGATAACTCCTTTGAGCAGTGACCATGATAGTATTTGTAGAAAAGAGAAAGAGATGCAACTTTACGACGATGGGAAAGCGGTTCAAGCTTAGCAGATAGTCCAGGTCCAACAACATTTACAATGCGATTTTAGACCTTGTCAAGAAGAGAAAGTGAATCATTAGAAGAACCAGCCCAAACATGACAACAGTATTCCATACAGGGACAAATAAGAGATTTGTAGAGGTAGAGAATGGAATCAGAAGTAAGGAAATGGCAAGCACCATAAAGAGAAGCAACCTTAGCAGAAGCTAATTTAGCAATCGATTGTATATGGTTTCCATGAAAGGTCAGTAGTAAACGATAATCCAAGAAGACGTAAAGAGGAGGACTCAGTAAGAGGATTGCCATTAATATAGGAATGTTGACCATATTATGGTAGTTGTTTGCAGTAAGCAACTGGGTTTTTTTAGAGTTGAAATTCACAAGCCACTGTGAACCCCAATCTATTACTGAAGTGAGATCAGATTCAAGATCAGCTGCTTGTTCTAGGCGATCGAAAAGAGAAGACTTTTTGTCAAGACAGGAGTATAAAGTTGAGTCATCAGCAAAAAGAGCTACTTTAGATGAAAGGTTGTCCGGAAGATCGTTTATGTAGATAAGAAACAAAACAGGGCCCAGGATGGAGCCTTGGGGAACCCCAGAAGTTACTGGAAATAAAGAAGAGTGTTGGCCTTCAAGGATGATTTTAATAAACCGGTTAGAAAGAAATGATTTGATAATCTCAAAAACTTTCTCAGAAACACCATATGAAGCAAGCTTATGGAAAAGACCAGCATGCCGAACTTTGTCGAAAACTTTAGATATGTCGAGAGCAATAGCCCTAGCCTCACCGCCTCCATCTAATGCACAATAAAATCTTTCAGTTACAGCAGTTAGCAAGTCTGCCGTAGAGCGAGAGGATCGAAAACCGTATTGATTGTCTGACAGTAGTTTATTTGACTCAAGATGAGATGTGAGGAATTTGTTGATCAAAAACTCAAAAACCTTGCTAATAACAGAAAGAAGACTGATCGGACGATAATTGGAGGGGTCAGAATTTTCTCCAGAGTTTTTGAATATTGGAACTACAGATGCCATTTTCCAACAAGCAGGAAAACAAGACTCAGTCAAACACTTGTTAAATAGTTTAGAGAGAATTGAAGAAAGTTCTGGAGAACAATTCTGCAAGACTGTGACAGGAATGTTGTCTGGACCACAAGCTGTAGACGAGTTTAATTGAGATATGAATTTTGCAACAGAAGCCGAAGTGATTCGAATGTCTAACAATGGGTCAACCTGTTTGACTGGAATGGAAGGAAGAGAATGTCCATAAGATTCAAGAGTGGAATTAGAAGAAATGTTCTTTACAAATAGTTCTGCCTTATCCTGGGGAGAGGTAATAAGATCAGTCCCATGAATGAGAGATGGAATTTTAGATCTACCCTTGTTAATAATGCTGTTGAAGATTTTCCAAAAGTCTTTAGAGCCTAACTTCTGCGATAAGATGCGAGATTTAGTGAACTGAGAATAATGGAGTTTAGCATCAGAAAGCACCTTTTTACATCGGTTTCTTGCAATAATAAATAGCCGTTTGTTCTCAAGAGAGTTGTTTTTTTGAAAAAGATGAAAAAAATGATTACGATTAGATATAGCAGCCGCACAAGAAGGAGAAAACTATGGAGTAGAATGAGGCTTGACTTGAAACCAACGAAAAGGAATAAAAGCTTCCATTCCAGCCTGAATCCAGGAGGTTACGTAGGAGGCGCATTTGTCAGCTGAGAGAGAAAAAACATCAGCCCAAGGACCATCACGAAGAAAATCACGAAAGGAATCCCAGTCAGCATTAGGGTAGTAGTAGGTGGTGCGATGATAAGGTGAGCCCAAAAAAGAAGTACGAGAAGAAAGATTTATAGAGATCATTGCATGGTCAGAACCACCTAAAGGAGAAAAGGGAGAAACAGAACATAAGCTAGGGTCAGAGACAAGACATAAGTCAAGGAGTGAAGGTAAATAATTAGGGTTGTCAGGAAAACGAGTCACAAAGTTAACTATCTGAGTAAGAGATTAAATAAAGCAGAAGTTAAAGGCTTTAGTGCCAGCAGGATCAGTGGTGTTAGAGCCAAGCCATTCAGTGTGATGGGCATTAAAATCACCAACAACAACAATATTGGCAGAGGGGTAAAAAGAGAGGGCATGATCAATTTGATCAGAGATAACATCTAAGAGAGTGCAATCATGGGAAGAAGGAGAACAATAAAGAACAAAGAGAAAGGTGATAGAGTGAAGAGGTGCTATGCGAAAGCACATAAAAGAATTGCTCAAAGGATTCGAACCTGATTTCACGACAAATAGGGGAATTAATGCGTGTGTATACCCCTAAACCTAGCATGTGACTATTTGAGTCTTTACGAATCAAAGGATAGTACCCATCAACACTGACATCTGAAGAAGGAATTGTAGAATTTAAATTTGTTTCACTAAGTGCAAGCAAGTCTGGTAAATTTTGCAGGAGGTAAGACTCAACTGATGGAAAGTTGATTCGTAGACCGTGAATATTTGTAAAAGATATATTAAAATATTTAGGTGGTGGGGATGGTTTTTTAGGTTTTAAATTTTAGGTTACTTTGGTCATGATTGGGTTTAATGAGAACTTGAATCATTCATAGATAGAGCACAGCCTCCTAATCAATGAGCTATGCAGTTGTCTCATTCCTGTTAATTAACCCTAAGCCGTGACATAGGGCTCCTTATGTGGCCTTGACAATGCACACCAAAAGCATTAACAGGGACACCATCCTTGCGCAACATGGCACTGTTAATACTCTGATATTTTGCAGCTGTTGATGGAATCAGCCTCTCTGAGAACTACCACAGAGTTCGGGAAACCTTACTACCAGCCGGCCTCAGAACCATTAAACTGAGTTTTAGAGCTGTACCCTCATATGGAGATAACAGGAAGAGTTGCATAGCCATTATCAAGGCGGCATAAGCAAAACTCTATGAGTAGAGTCAAGGAGAACCAGCATTCATCATCCTAGGCAGGAAACAATGTAACACATGTTACATCTACGCCAGCCTAATAGATGAAGAAGGGGTTCAAGGCTGGTTAGCAGAATTTTTCTGCTTACCCCTAAAGTCTTTGCCTAGGAGGCCTTCTACAAGACAGTAGCTGGATGCAGTTAACATCTGCCCAAGATGAATATTTTTATCGAGACACCATCTCTAGCCTTTACTCAACCAAGAGCCCCAAGGCAGGGGATGTTTAGCTGGATGCAGTTAACATCTGCCCAAGATGAGTGTTTTTATAGAGACACCATCTCTAGCCTTTACTCAACCAAGAGCCCCAAGGCAGGGGATGTTTAGCTGGATGCAGTTAACATCTGCCCAAGATGAGTGTTTTTATCGAGACACCATCTCTAGCCTTTACTCAACCATGAGCCCCAAGGCAGGGGAATTTTTAGTTGGAGTTTATTTCTCCTAGCCTTTGTCTAAGAAGAGCACACTCTGCAAGGCAGCAGGGCTTGTGGCAGGTGGTACTAAGTTATGTGATACCAGTAGCAGGATTGATCTTGATTATCCTGACCTGACCTGGAGTAGTTAAAAGGAGTTACTTCCAGCAACAGTACTTTGAGAAAACCAGGCATGATATTTTGGAAGTGCATTAGGAAAAACACTGCATCTAATAAAATACTTTTACTTAAAATGCGCTTGCGAAAGTGAAGAATGCTTGGTAAGTCACAAACTAAATGTCCAACTTAATTTATTTCTTTATATATGCCTAAAACAATGGTACAGAAAAAACAAAAAATAGCATGGATTTGGTAATAATATTTTTTTTACTATTGTCAAATTCAAAATGACTTTGAAATCATAAACATTTTACCTTTTATGTGCCCAACAATTCTCTTGTTTCATCAAAGATGTTTTGATAAGTATGTGAATAAAAAAACATTAAACATTCTACAACATCAGAAAAATATAGCAGAAGTCAACAAGAGTGTAGGCATGGATCATGCATCCTCATCTGAGCACAGAATCTCAGCCTGGAAAAGAGATAGATCAGGTGCAAAGCAAAGAAATTTACTCTCAGTTTTCACATTTTTTAATTTTTTTTTTGTACTTCTTATAAGTTAAATTAATTCTCTTGTTTCAGAAAAAAATATTTTGTATGATGAATGTTACATTTGCTATCCCAAAAATGGAAATGAAGCGCTTACAAAATACGCAACATAAAGTGCTGCAAATGTGTTAAAAGAAAACACTGTAAGTTAAGCTGACATCCCATGACTCATGGCTAGTATATTGGGCACAGAATGGCAAACCATAATTTCCTTAAGATTATTTTATTATCGGTATTGTACCTTACCTATACGAGACCCCAAAAAATTCCTTTTATTTTAAAAGAATATGCCGTTATGCGTTTGCTTTTTGACTATGTGAAAGAACACATATTAGACAATTTAAAGGTTATTCATACAAGCTAGCTATTTGAATTTTACAAGGAAAACTGCACTGATAGAACAAAAATTCCAGATAAAAGAACTTTGAAGGATGCTTTAATTGCAGAGTTTAGAGGGTCTGTTCAGCTGTGGTCACCAAAATATGGCTATTTTTATACATCTTTCTAATACCATTGAGGACGGGAAAATCATTGAAGTTTTTTTAAAAAAGAGTGAGAATCTAGAAAAAAAGTATATTCCAAAACCAATTAAACTGGTTATCGATCATGTCACACAAGAGATTCACAGCGAGGTTTTGTCTATGAAAAGAACATACTTTGAATGACCTTCTAATGAAGACGAGTTAAGACTGAAATTCCACCTCTTCTGCATCAACTTTTTGCAAAAGTTGTAAAAGAGTTAGTAAAAGAAGAATTGTCAAATTTTTAAATTGAAATTATTCAGTTTAAAAGTAACAACAATAATTGATAAATGTCTATAAAGGATCAGCTTATCTGTCTATGATGTCATCAGTGTATGACTGTTTTTCATATACTGTTAAAAGTGTATATAACAATAGAAGTATTTTTTTTAAAAGCAGTTAAAAGTTGTTAAAATTAATGTTTATTTTTTCACAGGAAATTTAGAAATTTCATTGATATGTTAAGAAAAATAACAAGTTTATGAACTACTCTAAACTTTTTTGGTAAACAATGAAATCTGTGTTTGTCTTGATGAAACTTGTCTTTGGTAAACAATGATAGAAATCTGTGCATTAAGTCTTGATGATTTTGTAGACTTAAAATTTTTAAATGATCAAGATCAAGTTTTATACTTTTTTACTTTAATTAGTTTTTTACTTTTCCAAATACCATTCAATCTGTTTTTCCTTTTAATTTAAGTTAATAGTTACGTCATTTTCATCTAACTTTATTTCTTCAAGTGAAAATGATGTAGTTGAAGAAGAAGAAGAAAAATATCCTTAATATTATAAATAATAAAACCAAAATATTATTATTAAGAATAAATATAAATAAATGATTGGCGAGGAAGGAGTCACTCATGAAGAAACCTGATCAAAGGAGTGACACCAAATAATTATATTAATAATATTAATTTAAGAAATAATAATATTAACAATAATAACTTTATTCATTAACAGAGCAAAAGTAACAGCAAAAATAATAGTATTTATTACAATTGTTATTTATTTAGTATTTATTACAATTGTGATAATAATAGTAATAATAAAAATAGAAGTAATGAAAAATAAGAAAACTAAAAGAAGTTAATAGTGATAAAGAATTAGAATAATTTTTTTAAAGAATTTCTTTAAATTTACTTTGTTTTAAATAAAGAAATAAAGATATATTGTTTTTAAGTTTTAATTTTTCAAACTCATTTGCAATGTACACAAGACTTCAATTCCATTCACTTATGCATTGATGCATAATTAAATACTTACCATACCTCAAAGGTTTATACGGAGGTACATTTAGTTTTCCATTATTGATGTTTCTAGTTAAATGTGAATGTATAAACTGAGTTTCAGTGAAAAAGGTTGTAATAGAGGAAGGTAAATTTTTATCAAGAGTGTCAAAAACCAAAAGATGATTAGCAAATCTAACTCGTGCTGACAAGGTAGAAATTTTAGGTTTTTTAAAAAAGTTAAAAGTTTCTGTATTATGGAGTTAAAAATTTATTATTCGGATTGATTGGGGCTGTGCTGATAACAATTTATTAATATTACAGTTGCCAATTTGTCCCCAAAAGTAACAACAGTAGTTGAGATGAGATTGAAAAATTGCAAAATACAGATTTATAAATGTAGTTTTATCAACATAATGGCGAATTATTAAAAGCATGCCGTTAGCTTGATTAAATCTTTTATGGAGTGCATCTATATGAAAATTCCATGAGAGGTTCGAATCTATAAAAGTACAAAGATATTTAACAACGAGTATTGGATATAAACGTCTATTTTTAATTTTAATTTTAGTCATATGACTGTTTTATATAAGTTTTTTGTCTTAAAGATGAAAAAAGTATTAGTTCAGTTTTTTCCAAGTTCAGAGAAATTAAGTTTGCATTTAGCCGATGATCTAAACCTTTTAGATCTAAGTTTATATTTTTACACAAGGAATGATGAGACTTATTAATATGCAAGATATTAGTATCATCAGCTAACAAATGGACTGATGAGAAGTGGACAGAGTTATTTAGATTGTTAATATAAATCAAAAACAATAAAGGGCCAAGAACAGAACCCTGGGGAACACCACAAACTATAAGTCCATCACACTTCCTTTCTAAGTACATAAAGTACATTGATAAAATTTTATCAAGACAACAAATGTTATCAACAAACCTTTTTTTTTTTTAAATCTTTTTTAAACTTGTCTTACAATAATCAAAAAAAAATTGAAAAACAAACAATTTTGGTACTCGCTTAATGAACAGTAATATTTGTTGAGGGAAAAATACATTTTTTTCACAAATAATACATTTTATTCGTAAGTAAAACTCAATAAATATTACAATTTATTCAGAGTATTTACAACTTTGATAGAAGTATAAAGATATTATAACTTGAAAATTGACATTATTATTGATGATATTGATATTAAATTTTAAAATATGTAACTTTATGTAATGTAAGGTTTAATTTATATTTTAATTTTTTGTTGTAGAAGATATTTTCAACAAATTTGATGATCATGGCAGGGATATTGATATTTTTAGTAAACAGTTTAAAATTACACTAGACTTAGTTTGTCTTACACAGCCAAGTGAACCTGAGGAAGGGGATGAATGGGACACTCCTTACGATGTTTTAAATAGAAGAAATTCTTCTGATAGCTTTTACTCAGAGTCACAAGAGTATCATTCTCGTACTAGGAAAAGATTGCTAACTGAAATTTCCAAAGATGAAAGGTTTTTAATTTAATATAATATCATAATGTATATGCATGTATATATATTTATACTGTAGCATATATATGCTATAGTATAGATATTTATTCTTTTTTTTTTTTTTGTTAACCTAATTCCATCACAGCTGTTTCAAACCGAGCTTAACGGCTTCTTGTTAATTTTTGAAAATATTGACTAAAGGGGTGTTACTAAAACTTTTATAACTTTTGAAATATAAGAGGTAATTTTGTTTTTTAAAAACAATTAAGACATCAATAAAATGTTTTACCTTATGACATTTAATGCATTAGTAGAAAAACTTCTTTTAGTTTAGAATAAATATGACATATATTGAATTTGGCTAAATTTTTGTAATTTGATGTTACTTTTTATCAAAAAAAAATTAGAAAAATATATTCCTAATAGTTATTATCAAATACACTTATTGTTTGACAATAATGAAAACAAAAAAACCTTACTTAATTATTTAAGGTTAACTAAAACAGCCTTAATCGAATTGTGAAAGCAAACCACATTTTTCGCAAAATTATGAAAAACGTCGTTATAAGGGGGGATTAGTTGTTAAATGAGTACTTTTTTTAATATAGAAGTTCTTGATTTAGAAAATTATTTTGGAACGCTGATAAAATCATTACATTACAAAATAAAGTTCTGATAATATGGTGTTAGGTAGTTAATAAATAAAAACTCATCAATTCTAATAAAATAATTCATGACCAAAATTGAGTTAAAGGTTTTGAATTAACCTAGCTTTTGGTAGTAGAATTATTTTATGGTACTTGTATCAATAATCTCTTCTCACAAAAAATAAAGTGTTTAAATATACACAAATAGCTGATTTAAATCTTTTGATAATTCGTTTTTATTTTCATTAAAAACTGTTTTATAATTAGTTGGTCCATTGATAAGTTCTTCAAGCAGTAAACTATCTTTGAACACCCAGTTGATACTAGACTCATACATAATTCATTTAAAACCAGAAGAACATTTGGTCAACTTGGCAATTGTGATAATAAAGTTTACAACTTCTTAATTTATCAAGCTAAATTTTTACACCAACTTGATAAATGAGACTTATATTCCATTCTTTAACCAGAGAGGAGGTATGTAGAGCAGAGGTCCTGCGAAGGTAGAACTAACTTTTGATGATAAAAATTGAACAGAGATCTAATATATATAAAAAATGTTACATATTACATAACAAAGGATAAAACGTTTTTTGAATTAACTACATAAACATACAAAATCATATCCAACAAACATACCAGTTGCTCTGATCACAAATTAAAATAGTTAGCTATACATTTGATGCTAGACTTTTATTCCATTCTTTAACCTGAGCAAAGGCATTGCATAGATATAATAAACTTTTGAAAATAGGAACAGAATGGGCATCTACCTAATATATAAAATCATTGTAATAAAAAATTATTATTATTTTGAACAAACATTACAGGCATTAAAACAGAATAGAATTCTCTTATTTGTAAATTAAGGATCTTATATAATTTATCTTAGATGTAAAAAGTTTAATTTTTTTTTTAACTTTTCAAACATTTAAACTAAATTTGATGACCACAAACAAGACAAAGACCTTGTCTATAAAATGAATTTTCGCCACGCTCTGAACACACAACACACTTTCTCACCTTAGAGGCTTGAAGCTTCCTATCAGTATTGCTGTGCAATTCAAAGCGTTTTAAAACAAGATGCAGCTTTTGCTCCTGATTTCTAACTGAATGCAACTGCCTTAATTCCTTATTTACGCTATTATGCAAACACTCTCCCTCCTCTTCACTCAGCAACCCAATAGTTTTATGCAATTTTACAAATAGTGGCACATTGAAAATGAGTTCATGCATTTTTCGCGTGATACTTTCTTTTGGAAAGCAAGTATGAAACTCAATAGCAAATAAATTTATATATTGATGAAGCTCAGAAATTTCGGCATCAGAAAGAAATTTTCGCTTAAAAAGAATAGGTTGCAAGTTATTAAAAACACTAAACACACGTACAAATCTATTTTTAATTGCTTCATCATCAACACTACAAAGTTTATAGTGGTTTCTTAATACTATTTTACAATGATTACCTACAAATACATTACCATGGTAAGCTTGTCGCTCAACTTTCATATCTTCAAGGGCCTTATAAAGAGACCTCTCATGAGTCCCCATGCTACTTATAGATATTTTTTCTAGGTCTTCACACTCTATCTGCAATCGAATATACTCAACGTCTAAAACTTCGCGCTGTGCGCGTATAAAAGAAATTTTTTCAGAAATATAAAGGTCAAGACATTCTAAATCTTCACCCTGACATGCTAAACACTCATACTTCTCTATATCACACAATACATTCTTTTCCGAACCACCAATAATTTCACAAAATTGATGGAACAATTTTTGGCACGTACCACACTGCACCCAATCAATGTTACAATCATATTTAGTAATTAAACACCTGATACTAGCACACTTTTCTTGCTGTTTACAGGTTTTTTTTTTTATTGGAGGAGTTTAGAGATATGCATTCCAATTCAGAAATATTTTTATCAAAAGCTAACCAACGAGTCTGTAGATTTGCAACGTCTACAAATTGATTTCCTAATAAACGTAAAGAGTCTGCTGTTTTAGAACATTCAAAGCTTTTAGCAGCCCACAATTCATTCGTTCTCACATTCTCATTCTCATGCGACAAAGACGAAACAGCTTGACAATCCAAAGTCTTACACTCCTTCAACAATAACTTATAAAGTTTTAACACAACTCCTAACATAATATGCAAAACAGGTGGCACTACATTATCTAAAGTTATTATGGGGAAAATCACAGGAGCAATAATTGAATTATGAAATTTACCTAGAGCTCTTAGGTTTCCACCTTGTCTATCTTCACACAAGTTCTCATTGTAAGCACTTTCCAGAGATTGTATTGTCCTCCTTAAGATGTTACAATTAGCAGGTGTGTGAGGCATAGAAGCATGGTTTCTTAGAGAATTCAACTTAACTAGGTCTGTAGAACTAGGAAAGCTAGCAGCTGAACCCTGGTGTCCCAGAACATCATCGATAAAATGAAAATCTCCACCTAAGAACAACCTGACTATTTTGCCTTTTAGCTTAAAATCTGACGACTGAATTCTTTTAATGTCGTTGGCATAATGCCCGAGAACTAAGGCAATATTCTCACGACAGTCTGAACCCTGATACATACAAAATAAATGAACATCATATACAGACCCTGATGATTTAGAATTGACAACTTCAAAATGGAATTTCATATACTTCCCACCCTTATCCCCAGCAAAAAAGAGCCATACCTCTTCGCAAAAACCGACATCAGAATTGAAGTGGTCACGAACGTGCAGACTATTGAAAACCTCTTCAATATAAGTTATCAAATTCTTGACCATCAATACAGGTACTAAGCAAGGTGCTTCATTTGCAGATGGATAAAGCAAAATGGACTTTACAGTAACATGTTCTTTACTAACATGCATTGTCCGCATTTCTTGTTCTTGTCTTATCTTGGGCTCAGATGGGAGAATCCTTGCACCAAGATTACACAGAATACGTCTTAGCCTACGGAATTCAGCCGTGGGCATCCTTAATTGGCTCTGCAGCTCTACAGCATCAGAAACACTTAACTGCCTAACTAAACCCAACTTATTTGCAACACAATGAAACATAGACTTTTCACAAGACACAGAATCACAAAACAACATAGACAAATCACTTTCCAAATCTGAACAAGCTAATAATCGAAGGAATATAAAAGCAAGTTTAGATCGTCTAGCTGCAGCATGCCTACCTAACTTAGAATAAGATTTACCATCTCCTAACTTAATGTAAGTATATTTCTTACCAACTATTGGCTTTTTAACTGATATAGTCTGTGGATTACTTAATTTAAACCCACAGAATAATTCAGAGGAACCAATGTTGTCATAGTCTAAATAAGAATCAACGACAACTAAATCCTTATCACTGCTAGCAAAATATTTGCAAATTTGGCAATTGTTCTTGTTTATATCACTGATTTTTGCATTTTTTTTTTCAAGTTTAAATTTTTTTAGCAATCTTACATTTTTGGCATGAGCAGATGCAAATTTACGGTGTGCTGTTTTTATTTTTTTTTTTAAAAAAAAGTTGGAACTGCTCCTCCTGTTTTAGCCTAATACTCATAGTCTCTAATTGAGAACTTAATGAGTTACAATGTGCGTTGAGAGCCTTGTTTTTAGAATTTAAATATATAACTTCAGTTTCCAACTTTGATACCTGTATTTTTAAATTATCTATTTGCTCCACATTATTTTTTTCTTTAGAAATTAATTGTTCAACTTGACTACTTAGTTCCTTATTCCTATTTAAAATATAAAAATTATCTGCATCTGCTGATTTTTTTTGTTTTTTTGTTTGTGGAGCTGGAGACAGTTGCATTTTAAAAAATGCTTCGTTTTTTGAAGCTTCAAAATACTTTTTAGAATCTTTTTTTCTTTGTTTTATTTTTCGGCACATTTTATTTAACACATCAATATTAGGCATATTAAACTCAATTGGCAAAAGAAAACTTAAAAAAGTAAACAACGCTTTTGGATGAAAAACTGTTAATAAAATTGAAATCACATTGTTAGTGATCTTACTAGTGTCAATTACTCGCTTTACAAAATTAAAGTTATACTCATTTTCCCAACCATCTTCCCAACCGATGTACAGTTTCAAAATTTCCCTCTCAGTTGCATACATCACATAAATAATGATAATGATATTATAATAATAATATAATAAAAGAAATTAAATAAAATAATATTTACAAATAAATACACTAAAAATAAAAGAATTAAGCAACTTATCTGAGATTAGTCGAATATCCACGAGGAAATAATCCACGAAACTTTGCTTTATAATCTTTATTGATATAGTAATAAAATTATAATACAAACAACTTAAATAGAATAATATTGGCAAATAGATGCACTAGATAAAATCGGATTAATCAACT